GTCTCACGAGGCTAGAGTAAACAGGCCTGATTCTGACCAACTCCTGGTGGCTAGAGAAGCTGAAAATCAGCTACATTTAGGGGGAACCATATATTTAACAAAGAATTTTCTGAGTTCTATGCTTCGATATTGCTAGCTTCATGGTTTTCTGGTTTACAGGGCTACTAATTCAGTTTGGGGTGGAATTGTTTCTTATGTTAGTCATGTTTCCTTTTGCTTTACACCATGCAGCACAATTGCTTTGCAACAAGAAGGATCTGGTTTTGAAATCCCAGCCAGGGGTCTTTTTACAATGAGTTTGGATGTTCTCCCCATGAATGCGTTGGTTCTCTCCAGGTATTAGAGGTTCCTCCAACAGTCAGACTGATACCCTGTCCAGTGTGCAGGATGTAACTCACTTGTGGCCAATGACCCCTGGGGGGGACAGCTTCCAGGCTCTGTTTTAGTTTGAATAGAATAGAATATCCTTTACTGTCCCATAGTTCACGGAACCATACAGATAAACATAAAAGTAAGAAAAATGCAAAACATAAACATAGGAGACTGTATGGTTTAGGAAGATCTACACCAATAAATAATGTAAAATACTTAAATAAAAAATGCAACTTGGTATGGTGATAAGTGTGCTAGCATGCACCCTATGCATCTTTAACTTTTAAAATGGAAATAACAGCAGTGGTGTAAACTCTCATTGAGTTTGTTTGGAACAATGATGTTAGAAGAGGGATCTACAATAATGCTCCTTTCTGCATTTTAGGTGCTGTAGTCTGTCCCTGAAGGAGTATGCGGTGGGAGACATTTCCAAGATGTTTCCATTTTTATAAGAGTATTTTAGTCTCCCACTACCTGCATTATGCATTGGGTTGAGAACCCATCCTATAGTGCTTTGTTACCCTCTATGCTCATCTTACTGTTTCCTAGAGCTGCAGACATTCATGCTGCAACAAACTACATTATATAGCAGATTCCAATACATGGTCAAAAAGGTCTTACATATTCTTTTCAGTTTTCCGTTTGTATAATGTGCTCCTTGTTTTCAACAATAATGGAGCAAAATTCACTCCATAGATGATAAGGCAAACATACTTCACCAAATACCTCAGGTAACAGCATAAGCTTCATAATCTTCACCATTACAGCGATCTTGTGTTGTTGGAGGTTCGTTCAGCCTGGGTTACTTTTCCACATCATGGAAACCCTGTGCATATGGTCAGTTATACAAATTTTCTGATATATATGTAATAATTACCCTCTTATTATTAGTTTCTTTACTGTGGAGTTGATAACATGTTCTTTTGAAGATTATTATTAGTGGTACACCAGCTCCTTGCTCAGCTTTTGCATAAATAACCAAAAAATAACCCACCACAAAGAAGATGTCAGTATTTGGTCATAGACTTTATTGGGTACGTCCATGTTTCAATATCATATGTATTTTTTCACATCATATAGCTATATTGCATATAACATCTATTTTCTTTTTACACTTAATTTAATCCACCATGAATTATACGATGCATCATCTTGTCTTTAATGACGAGAAAACCTCAGAAGTTTGCACTTGTTCACATTTAGGGTGTAACGATTTAAATATGGCAGGCATCGGCTGACTGTTTTCACCCGTTCACATGTTTGTTATGATTTTATATTCCCACAATGATTATACAGTGCAATAGGTAAACAATAAAACCATCTGTATGAAAAGAACAGAAAAAGTACATTCACAGTCAAATCAAATATAGCCACAGGAAAATAATAAAAACGCTGAATATCTAAAACCTAAACAAAACAAAACTTCTTTTGCATTACCGCCTCCGCTCATTCTGTCCATCTGGCATGTTTTATGTCTCAGAATGGCAAGGAGGCCTCCAAGGGTGAATTTTTAAAAATAACCATCCATGTCAAACATGATGGCTTACTCTTACATATTGCTGATCTTGCTGATAGACGGCGATAAATCAGATAACAATATGTGCAGATGCTGTGAAATTTATAAATTATACCCTGAATCAATTAATGCATAACATTGCAAGCCCCGTTATGTAAAAAAAACCTCACAGATCTTACAAAAGCAATGCCAAAAACAAGAAAAATAGCCATCTAAACACTTCAAAAATAAAAACTGGAGAAATTGCCGGCACACCTAACATCAACAAGCACGAATAGCGGCGGGGGGGAGAACAGGTGGTAATCTGCTTTGCTCAGAGCTCTTCACAGCACATCTATTTGGTTTAGACATTCGAATGTTTATGCACCGTTGAGCACAAGGGGTCACTGTGGCAACATGAACAGACCAATAAGCATAGGCATTGTGGAGAACATTCTGCAGGGGAACCACTTTTTATTCATATTCTGGATCACTCACTTCTTCACCAACTGCAAATCACTATTTTTGGAAGACATGCTTAGCGTCTAGAAACAGAATTGGTTTTCCCAAACAACTTGGATTTCCATAGTGATTAGAGAAAGCATGTAAGAACTTTAAGCATTAGATGATTTCACTTTTATTATTGTATAGATGAGACTCATAATATGTAAGCAACATTCCTTGGCTGAGTATGCTCCTATAGAAGAATAGGAAGCAGTGTTGGAAGCAGCTGCTGAGATTTATAAAACAGACACAAGTTTGGAGTGACATTTTAAACCTGAACCCTTTCAATCAGTCAGATTTACTGTAAAACATGTTTAGAGTGTTCCTCTCTGCCAGACCTGCCAATGCAGCTCCCCTCTGCAGCTCAGCTTCACCTCAGAGTGAGAATAGTGAGCTGTTCCTTTATTAAGTGCCCCAATAAATAAACCTGATGCAAACTTTATACATTTGTGCACGACATTGTTTTCAAGTAAAATTTTTGCTGTATATGTGTGCAAAAGTATCCATAATAACAAAACATTTCAGTTTGGGGGGGGGGGGGGGGGGGGGGGGGAGCATGCACGTCCCTCATCATCTGTCAACAGCCACATTATGCCTGAAAATGGAAGACCCTCAGCCACACACAAGAGTCACAATCAAGTGGACATCCCTGAGACCGCTCCATTTGATCTGACGCTCTTGTCTGTGTAAGGCTTGCTTTTCTTTTTTTTCTTTTTTCTTAAGGTGGAGAGCATTTCATTCATGTGTAGCAAAAACGAATGGAAGAAAAGGGAGAGTGACGACACACTCACGACACCTATAAAGCTACTTTTACTGACTAATCCACTACATGTAACGACACAGTTACAAGCCGCAAAATGATATGCCGGAAACTGCAACAGGTGTCTCCTATCGACATGCAGCTAAGACATCACCATGAGCAGTCAAAACGGCTCGAACACATCTATAGTGTTTGCTAACGCCGTGGGGAGCAGTGGAAGGAGACTGTACAATCAGATGGTGTTGGGACAGTTAGTTTTTCAAGTGGTAAATTCTCACAATATTAAGACTGCATCTCCATCCGTTCTTATATGTGTTTCTCCTTAAACCTTCAATCGATTAAATATACTTTACATCAAAAACATTTAGCTACATGCTGTTGATTGAGTCCTAAAACACAAGTAATAAGACGAACATGAGTGCATGATACAGCAACTATTTAGGGGGTTGTGGAAATGTGGCAGGGGATCACAAAATGAGGACCTGACAAGGGTATGGAAATCTGCAAATGGCCCCAGAAATCAAAGCAAATAAGAAAAACAATAATGCTTGCCTTATAAATTGCAAAACACACCATGGTAACCAGAGGTAAAAACAATATATTTGTATAAATGCCATTTATATTGCAGTTATTCCCTTTTTTAACTGACAATTATGCATTGATCGGATTCCCTGTTGCTTTGCAGGTCTAAAGGGAAAAGATTCTGTAACATAACGTTTTAAAATACATTACCAGCACACATACTGTACATACATTTTCTGAGTTCTATTCCTGTAGTTTTTCACAGGCCTCTTATCCTAATCAACCAGTTTTGATTTTTGCTACTTTCGACTTTTGTGACTGCATTAATACTGGATAACACTAAAATCTGAAACCTAAATGAAAGCATTCAATGCAACAAGTATGCAGTCAAAAAGGCAAAACATAATTCAACTTATCAATAGCAATGTGACAGCTAAGCCTGGTTTTGTGTAAGGGTTTCAGGATACGATAGCCCTGATAGAAATACAATGGTTTCATAGTAGCACCATATTGACAGAAATATATGCCAATATATGAAATAGTAAAAAGTATCATTCCAGGGGAGGAAAAGATACAACAAAGCATTGATTATTGTAATTATAAAAGTGTAAAAAGTATAAGAGTGACCAGCAGAAGGTTGCGGTAGCGGAGAATTTGATAAGGTGGGATATGGTGCTACTTCGAAAAATCACTAAAAAACTCAATTACTCTCTGGCATCTTAGCAAAAAGATATATATATATAGAGAGAGAGATGTTGAATTTTAGTGATTCCTTTACTTTGACTTTCTTTGTACCTTGATCTTTGTATGAAACCCTATCTGCTCTATATTCTAGCTCTATATTCTAGGAGACGTGTCAAGATCCTGAATAAACGTGCAGAGACTCTCTTATGTCATCTGTAGTCTCCTTCCACAATAAGAGGAAGAGTTTCTTTTCATTCATTGTGTTTCAAATGTTATTTCTAACACTATCTTTATGCCACCGTGATACACTTAATCTTTAATCTCATGCTGTTTTACTATTATTTTTAAGCTATTTAATTTTAGGATTTTATTTCATGTTTTCTCAGCTTGTACAGTCCGTATACATCTGGGTGTAAGTATTGGTGAGTTTATCTAACACTTCAAACAACCTTTAAAGCAATAATAACGGCAGATGTCTTTGTTAACCCTGCGTAGCTCGTCCCCTCCGCTGCACCACTGCCACACCTAATAATATTTCTGTTGGCTTCCCAGCTTAGAAGAAATAAAATAAAACTACTCTTTAATGTTGCTTTAGCGAATTTACTCTTAGGTTAAGTTGCTACATCGTTTTAATCCCCACCTACCCACCATTTCTTGTGTTCTTTTTAGGAAAAGGAAATGTTGTTTTTGAATAAGTTGGAATAGTTCTCAGGAAAACAGGGTTTTACTGAAGAGGAGAGGAAAAAAAGCTCAACTATTTTCCCAATAACATTTGTACAGTCCTTTAGTTTTTTTTAACCACAAACACCACGACGGATTTACAGTACCGACAAACGAGGAAGCAGGATTGTGTGTTGCTTTGTTTCTGATTTTAGGTAATGACTGTTGCATGCAAATACACAGACATTTGTGAGGTTTGATCTGATGACTCAGTTAAGCTTTAAGCCAGGCAAGAAATGTTTGAAACATAACATCACTCGTCTCTACTCTACCTTTTGTTCACTCTAATAGATATTGTCTGTTTGGGAAATGGATGTCAGGTGTGTGCGCTTTCATGTCACACTCATAAAGCGGTGATACTGTTGGTCCTTGCTCGCTTCCGGGGAGGTGGAGATGGGTGTCCATCAGGTTGCCTGTGCGTTTTTTTTCTCTCAGCCGGAGGAAGAAAGAGGGGTGGGAGGATCTGATGCCAGCTCAGTCTGAGAAGAGACTGGCAAAAGATTTGCGTAGATTGCGTATGGTTTCAGCCTTCACCTCGTCCTGGCTAAGGCTGGCTCGGGGCGCTGGGGTTTCTGGAATGTTGAAGGTATTGGTAAGAGACTGGGATTTGCTAAAAAGAGAGGGAAATGGCAATAGAGGAGAAGGAAAGGCTATTAAAGTCATGCAGCAAACCAATGGAATGAGAAGACTGGAGTATAGAGAGGCTGAGAAAAACATGTATACAGGTGCTGGTCATAAAATTAGAATATCATGAAAAAGTAGATTGATTTCAGTAATTCCATTTAAAAAGTGAAACTTGTATATTATATTCATACATTACATACAAACTCATATATTTCAGATGTTTATTTTGTTTAATTTTGATGATTACAAATGACAACAAATGAAAATCTCAAATTCATCATATCAGAAAATTAGAATATTGTGAAAAGGTTCAAAATTGATGGCCCCTGGTGCCACACTCTAATCAGCTAATTAACTCAAACCACCTGCAAAAGCCTTTAAATGGTCTTTCAGTCTAGTTCTATAGGCTACACAATCATGGGGAAGACTGCTGACTTGACAGTTGTCCAAAAGACGACCATCGACACCTTGCACAAGGAGGGCAAGACACAAAAGGTCATCGCTAAAGAGGCTGGCTGTTCACAGAGCTCAGTGTCCAAGCACATTAATAGAGAGGCGAAGGGAAGGAAAAGATGTGGTCGAAAAAAGTGTACAAGCAAGAGAGATAACCGCACCCTGGAGAGGATTGTGAAACAAAACCCATTCAAAAATGTGGGGGAGATTCACAAAGAGTGGACTGCAGCTGGAGTGAGTGCTTCAAGAACCACCACACACAGACGTATGAAAGACATGGGTTTCTGCTGTCGCATTCCTTGTGTCAAGCCACTCTTGAACCACAGACAGCGTCAGAAGCGTCTTGCCTGGGCTAAAGAGAAACAGGACTGGACTGCTGGTGAGTGGTCCAAAGTCATGTTCTCTGATGAAAGTAAATTTTGCATTTCCTTTGGAAATCAAGGTCCCAGAGTCTGGAGGAAAAGAAGAGAGGCACTTCATCCACGTTGCTTGAAGTCCAGTGTAAAGTTTCCACAGTCAGTGATGGTTTGGGGTGCCATGTCATCTGCTGGTGTTGGTCCATTGTGTTTTCTGAGGTCCAGGGTCAACGCAGCCACATACCAGGAAGTTTTAGAGCACTTCATGCTTCCTGCAGCTGACCAACTTTTTGGAGATGCAGATTTCATTTTCCAACAGGACTTGGCACCTGCACACAGTGCCAAAGCTACCAGTACCTGGTTGAAGGACCATGGTATCCCTGTTCTTAATTGGCCAGCAAACTCTCCTGACCTTAACCCCATAGAAAATCTATGGGGTATTGTGAAGAAGAAGATGCAATACACCAGACCCAACAATTCAGAAGAGCTAAAAGCCACTATTAGAGCAACCTGGGCTATCATAACACCTGAGCAGTGCCACAGACTGATCGACTCCATGCCACGCCGCATTGCTGCAGTAATACAGGCCAAAGGAGGCCCAACTAAATACTGAGTGCTGTACATGCTCATACTTTTCATGTTCATACTTTTCAGTTGGCCAACATTTCTATAAATCCTTTGTTTTTATTGGTCTTCAGTAATATTCTAATTTTCTGATATGATGAATTTGAGATTTTCATTTGTTGTCATTTGTAATCATCAAAATTAAACAAAATAAACATCTGAAATATATGAGTTTGTATGTAATGTATGAATATAATATACAAGTTTCACTTTTTAAATGGAATTACTGAAATCAATCTATTTTTTCATGATATTCTAATTTTATGACCAGCACCTGTATATAGAGAGAGGGATAAAGAGGAGGGGAGTCTCAGTAAAAAATGGGGAAAAAATGGGTCATTCCTTCTCCTGAGTCATTCAGAATTACACTATCATTTCAAGTCAGCATTGACATGATATGAATAGTGAATGACGGCTTTTGGATGTGCAGTGAGGTGTTTCATCTGGAATTGATCATGAAAGTGTTTTACAGAATTGCAAACAAAAAGCAGAATCAAAAAAAGAGTGTCTAATTATTGTAACTTAAAGTAATCATCAATAATGTTAAAGTGAAAGTAAATTAAGGATGAAGCTTATATTAAAATTTTAGCTCAGCAAAGTAAAAAAAAAAGTTCACAATATTGATGTTGTCTTGGTTTAATTAAATCATGTAAACCTTCTAGACCTTTTAGAAAGTTTCTGACCGTTTCAGTGATTATTTTGAAACAGCAAATATTTCATTTTCTGAATCTTTGCCATGTGTCATAAACCGTTTTTTGTGTAATTATTTTGCATAGGAAGCATTTCAGAAACAATCATTTCAATAATTAAAACATGTTGAGGCATAAAACAAAAGAGGCCCAAAGCAGCATTGAGGTTGTAAATCAGAATCTGAATATTGTAAATTTCCACTGGAAATAATGCCAGCATTGACAGCAAACAGGATGTTTTCCTTTGACTTTAGGGTTCAAGGTAGCTGCTACTTAGATTGAAAGTGAGTAAAACTTTATACTTGGACTTTTAATAGTTTCCTACTATTTATGTAACATATAGTTAGTACGACATTTCTGTGTTTATAGGACAAAATGTTTAAAATGTCTTAATAAGCACAAAATCGGCAAAGCAAAGTTTTACTATCATTGTTTTGCCATAATGGTGCTAATAGTGGCCATTATTGGCCAAATGTGCAAATAAAGAATAGAGACCGTCTTTAAAATGTCATGGTTAGTTGAAAAATTCAAAACGGCTTTAAAACAAGACAGACTTTTAGCAATTAAATGTGACTTTAACTGTAATGAAGGCTATGCTGTGAGCCTGAAAGTTTTTCCGTACTTTAACAACAACTGGTGAAATGAACTGATATCGATTCAGAGAAACGTCACTCGGATTTCTCTGTATCAATTTCCAAAGTAAATTCACAAACTATCATACAGCTGCCACTTTGCTTTATAACAGGGAATTAAGCTTCTATTCTGTTATCTTATTCACTGTGTTTCTTACTAATACAAAAAAGAAAGGCATTGGTTTTAAAAGCTAAAAAATCCAATAACTTTTTTGCTTGTTTTTTAGATGAATACCTACTTCCTGATATTAACTTTAGCCACCTTTAAAAATTACAATGGGGTTTTTAGAGTCTACTTTTCAGCATAGGATTAGACTAATTTAGGCAACTGTTGTGTAGAATAATGTTTTACCAGCTAAATATTAAGTTATTAACTTAATAATGGCAGGAAGTGTGGCCTAGTAGAGGGAAATGTGGCATACTAGTTAGGGCATTGTGCTTGGAATTCTGAGGTTTTAAGTTCAAGCCCAACTCCAACGGACTGATGCTTTGGGTCCCTGAGCAAGACCCTTAACCCCACACTGCTCCCTGGGCACCGCACAATGCCGGCACACTGTTCCCCAAGGGGTTAGGTTAAATGCAGAGAGTTAATTTGGTTGCTCTGTACTTGTGACAGTGTACTGACATTAAAAAAGCTGAAAAAAAAACAAACAAACTGCAATTTAATGTTTAAAGCTGGGCATACACTGTACGATTTTTTGCCCTTTTCGGGACGATTCTCCAGTCGGATTTGGAGTTGTTTGAGCGGGCCGACTTTCACCTTGGTCGTGCGTTGTGTAGTGTACAGGGGGTGATGAGGGGAGATTAGCCTCTCACTACCATCTCCCGATCAGGAAGGCCGTGAGAAAATCAAACATGTTTGAAATGTAGTTTGCCGCCATAAGGTGGTCATGGGCAAATCGCTTAGTGTTCATGTGCAAACAGGGATTCTTCTTCTTCCTCTTAGACCAAAACACAGAAGCATGGCGGGTTAGTGAAATGGAGTTTTTTCTGTAAAATTGACAGACCGTAGTAGCCACGTTCGCTCAGCCATGTTTTTCCCAAATACGGCATCGCCTTTTCTTTTTAGGCAATTGCACAAATTGCCAAGGCAGCACGTTTTACTCTAGTGAGCTTCATATTTAACAGGAGGCATCGACACTTCCATTTTTTTACTCGTTTGGCTTCCGGATAGACGAGTCTGAGTAGCTCCATCTCACTACGGCGCTCAGTCCAACGAGGTTTTTAGACGTACGGTGTGAGTAGATAGATCGCGTCAGAGTGTCGGGTCCCACAGTGTGAGAACATAACATCGTGAGCTGTGAACTTTTAAAATCTGCAGTTTCGTCGTACAATGTGAGCTGTAGCTGTGTGCAACGATTGAAAATATTGCACAGTGTATGCCTGGCTTATATGTCCCTGAGGACACTGGTTTAAAACCATCCTAGTTTTTTTGTAGCTTCTCCCTGTTGGTTTATTGATTCTCAATCTCACCAGGCGATTTTAATGTTATGTTTTATTTTGTAACACTGCTGTTGTAAGAATGACAAATGTCAGAACCACTACAACATGCACATATATGTTTGGTTGTTTGTGAGCAGACTGTTTAACGTGTGGCATGCATGTCTCAGTGCAGGCAAAGCTTAGGGTTTAACATTCAGTGGGTGTCGGTTTTGAGACTGAAAAAGTAAAAATGAGATGAAACTGATCCAGTTGTGTGTTGCATTCTCATGGATAGCTGCTTACTTTAGCTGTGGAGAACCGCCCATAGCTGGGCTGTCCTGACTGGGCTTCTGTGGGGGCTGTGGCTTTTGCTGCAGAGGGGGGCGTCCTCCTGGGCCGCCCTGACCTTGAGCGGCAGGCCTTGGCTGTGTTGTGGTTGGTGGCCCGGGGCGGCTCGGCTGGGCCTTCTGTGATCCTCCCTGTGACTGCTGCCTAGGGAGTGGGGCAGGTTTTTGTTGCTGCCCGCCTGCAGGTTTCTGGCCAGGACCCCCACCAGAAGGTTTCTGCTGCTGGGAGACTGACTGCTGCCTTTGAGTTTGAGGGGAGCCTCCCTGGCTTCGCTGAGGAGCGCCCTGACCTGGAGCTCGGGTTTGGGCTGAGGGGCCTTGGTTGGCCTTGGTCTGGGAAGTGGGCTCTGCAGCGCCCAGGCCGGCAGCAGAAGGCTGAGTTGGTGCAGGAGGTTGGCCTTGAGGCTGGGGGCGCTGCTGCGTAGGAGGACTTTGTTGGGGACCACCTATATGAGACAAAATAGGCCATTAATAGTGTTCATATTCTGAGGTACTATTTAGGTTTAGATGTTTAAAAGAAAAAAAATTATAAATATCAAAAGATTATAATAAATTACCCTGAGGGGAGGGGCGCTGTTGAGTCTGTGGTACTCTTGGCTGTGAGACAGGCTGAGGAGAAACTGCTTTCTGCAAATCAAACAAACGACAAACAAACGACCCATCAAAATGTCTAAATATATACATTATAGAAAGGCTATAACATATAATATAATATGGATATAATCATTACTTCCTTAATTAGTGAACTTTTATTCCTTATTAAGAACGTGTTCAGTGGAAGGAGCCATGACTCAGTTAGGAATTAGCTTTTTTGTCCAAATATTTTACTAGGAACAAAGCTAAAATGGGTAATGCATTGTTATTTTCACACCGTTTAGTTCTATTCTTATATTCTTTACAAAATGACCTCACACCTATAGAGTCTCGCTGTTTGTAATTCAAATAGAGAAGAAATACTGATGTTTTGTAAAGGCCACAGAGGTTTGGATGACAGGATCTTAAAGAATGAAAAACTGTCATTTTTATTGTCCAGATGTGTAAAAGCGGGCGTTCTATTAAACAATGGAAACATCATATAATCATGTAATTCTTTTTACTGTAAAAGGCAGGGTTGTGGCACATTTTCCTCTGCAGTGAACAGGAGGCTGGTCAGTTAATAAAAAATGGATGAAGGTAAACACAGAACAATCCTGGAAGAAAACCCGATGAGAGCCACCATTTTTACAATCCATATGGTAAGTAAGTAAATGCACTGTAGGTTGGTTAATTTGGGCACATTTTTTAAATATTTTTGTTCATTTCTTTTATTTTGATTTAAAGTTTTAATTTGATTTCAAGCTTTTTTACTTAAATTACCAATAACTGCTGTTTGTAGGGATGTTAAAACTCTGTTCATTGTTTTCTTGATGATCTATATTTTTGTCAAAAACAAAGAAAAGAGGTTAACAATGGAGGTTTTGTAGGAAACCTAAGATTTCAGCCTTCCGTTGTGTACCTCCAAGACTGATTGTAAAAATGGCGACGTCCTGCCCCGTGGTCCGATTTCGTGAAAATGGTTCAAAAAGACTTGCAACCGGGTCCCGTTTTGACCTTTCAGCAATGCATACACAATCCAATTTAACAACATTGTTATTTTTTCATGTAACATGATAAATTTGAAGAGGTTAAGGGATATTAATGGTTTTAAGTCAGTAAAGGGTGGCTTTAAGATTGCAGAGCTTAATTTTCACCTAACCATGCTTTAACATACTGCAGAATGAGGTCTCCTACAGCCAAACACACACCGCCATACCTGTTCTCTACGTTTTCCATTAAAAAAAAGAGATACATATAAAATGATTAAAGGAAAGTAGCAGAATGAGGTTGAGCCTGCGGTCTACGCACCTGTGCTGGCTGTCCTGCTGCAGCCCGGACTGAGGAAGAACTGGGAGTACGTGGAATAGTCTCCTGCATTTTTGAAACCACTAGTTCTGCAATCTGAACTCGATCCTCATCCTGTTGGTCCCCAATCAGTGGCATCGAACAGTCATCAACCTAAAATGAAACGGCATAGATAAACTAATACTAAAAATATGATACTTGATCTCATTTGCCCCCTGGCTGTGCTTATTTAGAGGAAACACAGAAATAGCATTGCCTCAGAAAAGCACAAGGGGCTCAGCCATTTATTTGTGCCCCAAGGCTTTTTGTAGAGCAACCTTTGATATTAAACACTAGCATTCAGCAGCAGCACATTCACACAGATGTTTTTACTGTTTTAAAACATAAAAAAATTAAAAGAGAATTTTTTTTTGTTATAATATTGTTTAATTTTACTTAAAGGTCCATTTCAACTGCCTAATTAAGCCTTAAAGGAAAGAAAAAAAACAACAAAATGATAAACAAAATGCTGATAAAAAACAAATGCTATAATCAATGCAATCATACTGCAATAAAGTACCTCTATAATATAGTCCTTTCCATCTTTACCATGCAGAGCCTCCACAGCACAGATATCTAACCCTCCAAAGATATCTGCGCATGAATCCACCCATAATTTATACCTGCAACCACATGTTCAATAGGAATGCTGTTATCCTGCAAAGACATATTCTTTTTGCATTTTATTAGCATACGGTTACGTCCTTACTTGTCTGACATGGCCACCTGCTCAAGCATTGAAGAACCTGTGTTTGTTTTCCAGTTGCCAGAAATGGAGGTCCTCCTGGTAAACACAGTAGTAGTTGTTTTATGATTCATTCTCATTGAGGTGAGTGAGAGTAAATTCTGAAATGCTTTGGCTTAAACACAGTAAACTGACTCACATATAAGCCTTGTAGTTGTTACCGATCTTCTGGATGCGGACGTCATACTTTGCATCAATGAAAGGCTCGGATGTGGCATAAGTCTTGGTTAGTGCCACAACGCTAGCAATATCTTGAAAGTCATATTGATTGTCCACTTTCACCTAGTTATCAGAGTTCAGAACATTCATTTGATGGCACTTATAAGCCCTGTGAATAATATATTCTAAATTCAAATGAAGCCCTGATCAGTCTACCTTTCCCATTCCTGAGTGAGCATGGCCCATCTTCACAACGACAGGGAACCGAGGGGCGCTGATCTGCAAAATAAACCATTATAAGAAGAACAAAATCTAGAACTTTAAAGCCATTTAAACATTTTTTTTACAATTACAAAACTGTATTAGTTAATGGCTTGCAGTCCTAATCTGTTCCACATTGGTTCATAATAGAGAAAGCAATAGAAATGAAGCTTAGGGTTAAAATATAAACTGCATCCACTGGTTCCTTTATTATGTACACTTTACCTCATTGGACTCTCCTTTGTCTTTAGAACTGCCTTAATTCCCTATTGATTTATTCAATAAAATGCTGAAAACTGTCCTCTGAGATTTTGGTCCATGTTGACATGAGGACATCAAGCAGTCACTCCAGATTTCCAGGCTAAACATCATTGATATGAATCTTTTAAATGTTTCCATCATCCCATCCGTGCTACACTGAACTGTCATCTGGTGACAGGAGATCGTTGGAGTATAACGATCTGAGCGTTGGTCATAAATGGATGGAAAATATCAGCAGCAATAATCAAGTTAGGCTTTTGTTAGAATTATGCCTAACTGTCTAAAATAACAGTATGGTGTTCATTATTTTAGCACGAAATTGCACCTAAAATCAAAACATTTAAGACCAGACAGCATTTTTCAGATCTGTCTTTTCTCTGTTTGGAGGCAGTTTTGCTCCAGAATTGCTCTGATCAAGAAGAACAAGAAGAAAAAAGCACAGATAAGGTAATCTCTGATTGTTTCCACCAATCACCATTGATGCTATGCTGTCATCCTCTCACTAAATAAACACCTTATTTTTCTTTTAGTTAGACTCAAAAAAATGCTGAATTCTATCCTTTTTGAGCCTATTTTATTCTACTACTATTCAAATATGCTGCTCTAACATTACTTTTTTCAGTCTTTAGTAGGCTGGAACCTAGAAAGCATTCTTACTGAAAGAGAACTTGTCGAGGATAAACCATGTGAAGACCGGCAGTGGTAAACATGCAGAGGTTTAGGATGGGGTCACTCCTACATGATCCAATCTAAAAATTTAACTGTAGAACTGAAAAAAACGTTTCCAAAGGTTTGTTTTGAAAGCATCAGTTTGCTTTTATGGGCGGTAGGAGTAGCATCCGACGTGGCCTTCTACCGCTCTAGCCGTTTCACCTCCAGGTTCAATGTGTTGTTTTCTCCGATGGAATTCCACCAGCCATGGTTGTAATGAGCTCCTCTTGTCTTTGTACCATCTAAAACTGTTTGCCTGTTTACTTTTGACTTGTGTCACAAACAAGACCTTTTTATCAACTAAACCGTAGGTCCCTGGAATTTCCTTACATTTTCAGATTGTCTGCTATAAACACAGGAGATGGTTGTGCAAGGAAATCAAAGCAGGTCAGTTTGAACATCCAAAAGTCCTGTTCTAACTGCTAAATGCAGTGAATGGGTGCCAGGGGATTGACTGATTTGAATTTTTTGTTAACAAACAATTGATGAGATGTACTTTTAAAAAAATGTATAGCAGTTATTTGCAGAACGATCAACCAAATCTTCAATTATTCGAGAAACGACATGCAGCAGAACTCACAGTCTGAGTGTTATAGAATGGTTTAATAACAGCGGTCTGGGAATAGAAGTAATAGCTCATGTTTTAAGAGTGTCTGCTGCTCTTTTATTTTGTATATAGAGAAATGTACTTAGTAAGAGTAATGAGGCAACAAAACAGGAAAAACGCCAAGAGGGGATAACATTTCTGCACGCCACTATATAATATTTTGTCTGGGAGATTTCAAGTGGGATTTAAAAGAAGCTTTCCTTTGATTTTATTGCTTTTCAACAGATTTTAAAGAAAACAGTATTATTCTTTTTTTTTTATAGTAAATCATTTGTAATGATTAAAACATCAATTGTTTCAGGAAAATGAGAGAGACACAGTCCTTCTGATGACTTGAAAGCCAGCCCAGTTCTGTCAGCCTTGGACTGCAGGGGTCGGCTGCAGATGACTGCTCTGCAGCAGCAATATCAGTGCAATGCTCCTGACAATGACTCGGCAACCCAATTATCAGAAACTCTGCCTCTGCAAGCAAGACACCAAAACTATATAAACAAGCATCGCAAAGTTAGACTGACCTAAGCTGCTATTTTAATCCAAACATGAATTAAACCTGAATATGTGACCCATTATGAGCCCATTATTAAATTCTTCAAAAAAAAATATTTCTTGATCCCAAAAAGAAATTAAATAGTGTTAAATATATGGAGTAGATTTCAAAGAACTCACCATTTCCTTATGATTTGGATAATAAACCTGCTCAATCAGTGGGAACTCATCTGGGCCCAGCTGCTTGTGGAGTCTTGACATCTGAGCAAACTAAGGGAGAATTTCACCTTCAGATGCCACTCTAGCTGACTATAGATCTGGGATCTGTTTGCTGTGGCTTGAAAAGACTACTTACCACCCATGGTTTGTCACAGAAGTTATAGACAGAGTGCAGAGTGTTAACACTTGGCAGTCCGGCGTACTGCAGTCCAATCACCATGTTGCGATGGTCTCCATTCCTGTCCATGCTGAAAGCGTGCTGTCTGATCAGCACAAAGTCTGGCTTAAATGACCTGTTACAAAAGACACAAGGAAATTATTAAAACACTGAACATCACAAGACGAGCAGCTTGGTACCCCCCAACTAAAAAGGACTTACTTAGTAACCTTGTGCCCATTCCTGATGGCATCAAGGTCGACGTTGTAGGTGCCATTGGCATTGGCCACCAGGTTGATCTCTGAGAATTCTGCCTGTAATGAAAGACATCGAAGTGAAACTCTCCTAAACTATCTGAAATTACATGATCAAGGTAGATGAACATAAATATTAGCTCAACACTTAGCCAGGAAGACTAATTACCAGATTTTAGTTATTGAAACTTTTTTTAAATCTCATACACTGCAAGAATATTACATTTTTTCCCCATTTTGTCACATTACAACTGCTCAAGTCAGCTATCAGTCAGTTATAGAATAACAAAAAGAAGCACATAAGAAATCGAGAAAAGATTAAATTTATATCTTATATTTTACAAACAAAAATCTGAGATCTGGAATACATGAGTGAATAAATACTGTTGTGAAGACCAAAAAACACAGCAGACAGGTCAGATCACTGACTCCTGTTTAGTGCATCCTAAGAACAAGGAAACACACATCTGCAAAATTATCAAAAGACCCCATGTTAACCTTGGCAGAGCTGTAGAAATCCACAAATAAGGTAGGATAATACAATGATGGTACAGCTATGTCAAGTCTTTATGGAATAGAGGGAAGAAAAATTATTTGTTTTAATAAGGAAGCTCTTGTTTCACATCCAGTGAGCTCTGTAATATGGCAAACATATGGAAAAAGGACCCGATCAGAAAAGAGCTTTATGTAAGTTTTTGGCATATTTACAAAACTCAGTGTGTGAAAACAAGCTAACACAACACATCAACCTGAACACGACATGCCTGCAATGGCACATGATGATGGCTGCATTATGCTAAGGGAATGGGTTCTTCAGCAGGAATAGGAAAGCAGGTCAAAGTAGGACAGAAGATGAAAATACAGAAAAATAATTGGAGAAAACCTGCAAGTGGCTGCATATTTTCTTTAACATGGAAAGCTTTGCTTTGTATTTTCAGACCACCCTATCAAATTATATCTTTTTAAGGGGGAAAATAATTTGTAGAATGTTGCTGCACATATTTAAAGTGAGGGATTACTGCAAAGTCTATAATAAGAAGCAAAATGTTTACCATCAGTGGACAAGTATTGTTGTCAGTGATTGCTGCAAACTCAGTAAATCGATGCAGTCGTCTGGGTTTCCTTATATAGACAACCTTTTACTTTATTAATAGAATAGAAAAAAATGACTTGGATAGAATGGTCAAAGTCCAGACCTCACATACAGATGATAATCTAGGCCTGAAGATTGATCTTTAAAAAAACTCTCTAGTCTTATCTGAATAAAAATTTACAAAATATGAAACGTCAATCTCTATAAATGTAAAGCTGTTGGAGACGTTCCCACACAGATTTGGTATAGGCATCTCTATAGGCATCAATAGCTCATTCTAGAGGGCAACTGAAAGCAAATTCTTTGTTTCTTTGTTGGTTTTCTTCTTTTTTTCACTTTCAATTATCACATAAAATCCCAATAAAGTATGTTTGTAGCGTAACAAAATGCAAAAAGTTCTGGATTAGGGTAGGAACCTTATGTCAGAGTTAAGAGAAAAAGGGACCAAAATACACACGGCTAAAAATGCCTGAAGCAGAGAAGATCATCATGAAAACATTTGGGGAGTTTTCTGCTCATAGCAGCTATAAATAAGCCTTTAAACTGTACCCAGAAACACTATCGGGCAACATATTTCTGCTCCAAATTAGAGAAAAATTACTCCCGATTGATCACCCACAATAACTGGTGAGTTACTGGTTCGGTCAACGACTTTTTATTACTAGTGGTTCAAATAAAGAAGAATTTTTCTGAACATTGAAGCAGTGGTGAGTATTGCTCTTACGCAAAAGTGAAACAGACCCTGAGAGATTTATTATTCCAGCCTCTCTGTGAACACGGCAGCTCATTAATAATGCTGGAGCTTTTATCTGCCAAGAGCAACAAACTATACACTAGGAGGCCTATTTCTGTTTTGACATACAAAGATCAGAGGCGGCATCATTTATCAGGAAACACAAACCCGTTTTGATCTCATGAAAAAAAGCAAGCATCTATTTCATTGAAGAAACCATCGAATAATATGCAGAAGTTCTTAAATCGTGACCACGTGTGTTTTAATTTATTTTGTAGGTTTTTTCTCCTGCAGAAGTAAAAGCAAACAGGGTGTAAAACCTACCTGTTCTACCTTGATGTCAAATTCACCGTGGATCTTTCTTCCTCTAAAGACCTTCACCCTGAATGAGGGGGAAAAAGGAGGTGAATCATAGGAAACAGTTCAAGTATTCCGATATTTAACAGATGGTAATTCCTCCAGCTCAAGCAGGACATTTTGAAATTGAGCAAATTTGTCTTTAACACATTTAAACTGGTGACACTTTGAATTGGAACTGAGAGTTCAGCTTCAGTTTGTCAAAAAAAAAACTAAAATTTAAATGTGATAGTGACTCATTTTGACTGTGGAGTCACACATAAGGTGTCATTCAATTTGGGAAAATAGCATTTCACAAAGCCCAGCAAAAACATTTACACATATTGCTAAATTGCAAACACAAACTTTAATCTACTGTGCTGGGATTTTATCTACAATCGACACAAAGGAGTGGATAATTGTGAATTAAAGGTAACACAATGCATGTTTTGTTTTGTAAATCAAGAAGCTGAAAAGTATGGCATGCATCTGCATCCAGCCTTCCTGAGCTAATAATAAAAACACTTTTTATTTTAATCCCATATGCATTTTTGTTTTTATCTAAAACATGTATATACCTTGATCTAAGCAGCTCTGGATGTATGTTTAGGGTTGTTGTGCTGAACATCCATCCCAGTCTCAAGAGTCTTGCAGCTTTGAACAGGTTTTCCTCTCGGGACTGTTGCATACATACCTCCAAAAGGTTTTACTTTATCTAACCAGAGCATGTGTCCACTCATACTTTGTGTGCAACTCAAAATATTTTCTAGGTTCTTTTCTTTTAGTGCTTACCCCCGTTTACCCCTTAAAGTTTGCATTTTTACACAGTGTGATTGTTTGTAAAGTGACTATGATGTAATCAACGGAAAACCAAAGCCAAATTGCTTGTTTTTGCACAAAGATCCTGCAGATTAAAGTTGATTATCTTCTTTTCTCATTGCCACTCATCCGTAAAATGGCTCCTAGCAGTAGAATATGACTAATAGTTTCCCCATCAAAAAGATTCCTACACCTGAGCTCTGCAGCTTCTTTTGAAGTAGTATGGGCCTCTTGGCAGGTTATGTGATTAATGCTCCTCTCACCAGATAACCGTGTTTAGGTGGTATTTTTTTTCAAAACTCTTTTTTATTTTGGACTATGGATTTCTCCCTTATTAGTCTGATGTGCTATTTGTTATTTATTAGCTACCGTTCTCGTTTGCACAATTGGAAAAGCAGTCACTATAATTATTAGGGGACTTTCGAAGACAGCTTGTTGAATTGGACTTTATTTAGGGGTATTAGGGTAAAAAGGGATTAATACAAATGCACATACCCTGTGGATGTGAAAAAAGTATCTGATTCTGTCCATTTCTCGGTTATGTGTAAATAAAATGCACTGGAGATTGCTGATGTGATTAAGAATTGGTTCAAGGGGATTGAAGTCTGTCTGCATTTGATGATGCAGAGCTTTTTGTGCGTGCATGATGCAGCTTTGTCATTGTGAACATAAGGTGCATTTATCAGCATCACCTGCATCCTGTGACCTTCCAGTTTTAATGCACCTGCAACCCAAAGTGGGTCTGGTCTGCATGGCACACATTCCCTGTCTAGACGGGCCGCTGCGCCGCAGGTCCGCGCTCCAGCCTTACCAGTCGGTCTGCTGGTCGTCGATAACCAGGAGGATCTTGCCGTGACTGGAGACGCCAGCCCGATCCGCCGCCTCGGATAGAGTTGCCGCTGCAGCGGCTGTGGTCTGTTTGACAGCGTTGGATAAGGAGGAGAAGAAACCGGAGCCCCCACCTGCAGCCTGCTGCTGCTGCTGCTGCTGCTGGGCCGGGGGCTGGCGCCTCTCCGCCGGCCCGGGCGACACTGCGGGGCTTTGCTGCGGCGGCTCAGGGCGTTGGAGGTCGCCCATGTAGCCATTGGGCAGATTGGACATGAAATTGCTGTCCGAGAGGCGGCGACGCAGGTAATTCATGATGGAGATTTGATCAAATGACGGAGAAACGGGGTCCAAAAAAAAAATCCCACCTAGAGATTCAGAACTTGGTGTTCGGTGAGAAAAATAAATATCTGGACTAGTTTCCCATCAACAGAAACAGGAACCAACGTCACCTAAAGGGAATAAAGTCGAGTTTTATAAATTGGATAATAATTTAAATTAAAAAATCAACATAGTAGGGAATCGTGACTGCTAAAGCAAATAAATGGAGCCTTGCAGATTTGCACATGAAATATGCCTAATTTAAATCCCTCGTTCAAATGATGTTCTCATAATAAATGTGTGTAATTTAAATAGACATCAAGGTATTTCTGGACCTACCTTGGAATGTGTCCAAACTGATCCGCCCCAAGGATGAGGCGATGGTTTCCTACTGATCGGTCCCAGGAAAAGCCTTCCCACAGGTAACGGGCATGTTCTCTGGGCGCAGGGCCAGGCCGTGCATCCGATCTCAAAACGGAGAAATAAATTCAGGATAAAGTCCTTCCAGCATCCCCTGCTTCCCTTCAAGACCCTGTTTTTTCCGTCTGCCCTGCGTCACTCCCAGTCATCCTGAGGGAGAGGAGGCTGGACGGTTGTCAAGGTAACGCAGGCTGCAGGAGCTCATTTCCGGGGCTGTTTAAAAAAATAAAGCCAAGCTATCAAAAAATATACACATTTTACCTAATTTTATGAATCAGATTGCACTTAAAATTACAACAGTTTCCATAGGAACGTGATTACTTATTCACTCTAGATTATTTATAACAAATCCATTTATAACTCATCTCCTGATTGGTCCAGTTAATTAAGCAGGACATTAACAGACTTCCTGTGTCGTGGTGTTGATGTACTTTTGACGGAGCAAAGTGATGGGTAATGAGGGTGGTGCTGATGAGAGGAGAGGGTCGTAGATCTCTGACACACATCAGTCAGCTGATGCTGGTAGATTCATAGGGATCCCGCAGGGGCCAACAAAACACCATCCATTCATTGGCCAGTGAAGAAGAAGAAGCTTTTGATTTTCTATTTAATCAATTTTTAGAGATGTGCCATCTGTTGGTGATGAACCCAGACTCTCCCTCTCAGCCACCACCCCCTTCTGGGAGTGCTATATGTTCTATCATGGAAACTGCACAGTGATCATAAGGGAAACAGGCACTCCCTCTGCGTTTCTCTCCTGAATTATTAACACCTTAGAGAATCAATGTAGAGCTTGTCCCCTGCTCATAAGAGAAAAAAAAATGCTGTTTGTTTATGCATTGGTTTGTTGACTTGTGAATCCTAACTAGTCCATCACATGGGTGTATCCAGAGTGACCAGATGGGGGCTTCTTATAATTTTAGCCTGACACATTAAACCAAAATTGATAAATGCCCTACAGGTTTTAGTTACAGATATTGCAAAGTTAACATTTTTAAGTAGCTCTTAAAAAGGGCAAAATGTTTAATCTTTATTCTGTTTGTCTTTATTATTATCTTTATTATTATTATGTTCTGAGCAAAGAACAAGTTTTGTAAATGGAAATTTGAAAACAAAATATATAATCCAGAAATAAAACCTTAAAATCTTTCTAAATCAAAAAAAGTTTCTACTGTTTCCTACTATTTTCTTTCATATCTTATTTTTTCAAAATTATCTTTTTCAGATTGAGTATTACAACATGCTGTTTTTTCATACTGCATTTTACAGATCCCATTCTTTTTATTTCTGGGGTTTGGATCTCCTCTGGAGTAGAAGTATGTGTGTGTGTAGCTGTGGAATGGCTTTGTGGCATGAAATGAATAGACATGAAATGTAGCACAAACTTAAATATATTTGAAGAAAAAGGTAAAAGAATATACTTTTTAATATAGAGGAGGAAAATGAATTTCATTCATTCTGGTCGATGTCTACATCGCGCCGCATGCAAACGTGCAGGACGCACAGCGCACGCTCGGAGACCAGATACTGAGTGTGGAGCGGAGCAACCCGGACTCCTTAGTTATTGTCCTTGGTGACTTTGATAAAGGTAACCTCAGTCATGATCTTCATAAATACAGACAGTTTATTAAATGTCTGACCAGAGAGGGTAACATTCTGGATCACTGTTACACCACCATCAGGGATGCTTATCATGCTGTCCCCCGTGCTGCACTGCCAATCAGACCACGTCATGGTCCACCTGATTCCTGCTTACAGACAGAAACTAAAGCTCTGCAAACCTGTGGTGAGGAAATCAAAGAGTTGGACCAGTGAGGCTGTGGAGGATCTTCAGGCGTGTATGGGTTCTACTGACTGGGACGTCTTCAGGGCTGCTACCAACAGTCTGGATGAGTTCACAGAGGCTGTGACATCATACATCAGCTTCTGTGAAGACTGCTGTATTCCATCACGAACCAGGGTGAGTTACAATAATGACAAACCCTGGTTCACTGGCAAACTCAGAAGACTAAGGTTGGACAAGGAAGAGGCCTTCAGGAGCAGAGATAAATGCAGATTCAAAGATGCAAAATACAAGTTTAGCAAGGTGGTGAAAGAGGCTAAACGACTGTATTCTGAGAAGCTGCAAAACCATTTTTCTGCCAACGACTCTGCTTCTGTCTGGAAAGGGCTTAGTCCAATAACAAATTACAAGCCTAAAGCCCCCCACTCCATGAATGACCGACAGTTAGCCAACGACCTGAACAACTTCTACTGTCGTTTCGACAGACAAAGGGACAGTCATGCATCCACCCCCCACAACACCACCCAACAGATCCCCTCCACCTCCTCCTCCTCAGTGAAAACTCTTTCCATAAAAGAGAGAGATGTAAACAAACTCTTCAAAAAACAGAACCCCCGGAAAGCTGCTGGACCAGATTCTGTCACTCCATCCACTTTGAAGCTCTGTGCTGACCAGCTGTCTCCAATGTTCACAGACATTTTTAACACCTCACTGGCGACATGTCACGTGCCAGCCTGCTTTAAATCCTCCACCATCATCCCTGTCCCCAAGAAGCCAAGGACCACAGGACTTAATGACTTTAGACCCGTCGCCTTGACCTCTGTGGTCATGAAGTCCTTTGAGCGTCTTGTGCTGTCACACCTGAAAGAAATCATGGACCCCCTCCTGGACCCCTTCCAATTTGCCCACAGAGCCAACAGGTCTGTAGATTACGCTGTCAACCTGGCCCTTCACCACATTCTCCAGCACCTGGACTCCGCAGGAACCTACGCCAGGATCCTGTTTGTGGACTTCAGCTCGGCCTTCAACACAATCATCCCAGCTCTGCTCCAGGAGAAGCTCTCCCAGCTGAATGTGCCTGACTCCACCTGCAGGTGGATCACAGACTTCCTGTCGGAAAGGAAGCAGCATGTAAAGCTGGGAACACAGTTCTCTGACTCACAGCTCATCAGCACTGGTTCCCCCCCAGGGCTGTGTTCTTTCTCCTCTGCTCTTCTCCCTGTACACCAACAGCTGCACCTCCAGTCATCAGTCTGTCAAGCTCCTGAAGTTCGCGGACGACACCACTCTCATCAGACTGATCTCCGATGGAGACGAGTCCGCCTACAGGTGGGAGGCTGACCATCTGGTGACCTGGTGCAGGGAGAACAACCTGGAGCTCAACGCTCTAAAAACAGTGGAGTTAGTTGTGGACTTCAGAAAGAGCACAGCCCCTGCTACCCCCATCACCCTCTGTGACTCCACCATTGACACTGTGGAGTCTTTCCGCTTCCTGGGAACTATCATCTCCCAGGACCTAAAGTGGGAGCTGACTCCCTGACTCCCTCACCAAAAAAGCCCAGCAGAGGATGTACTTCCTGCGGCAGCTGAAGAAATTCAACCTGCCCAGGACAATGATGGTGCAGTTCTACTCCTCCATCATTGAGTCCATCCTCACTTCCTCCATCACTATCTGGTACGCTGGTGCCACAGCTAAGGACAAGAGCAGACTGCAGCGTGTCATCCAGTCTGCAGAGAAGGTGATTGGCTGCAACCTCCCATCTCTCCAGGAGCTGCACGCCTCCAGGACTCTGAGGCGTGCAGGGAAGATTGTGGCTGATCCCTCGCACCCCAGTCACAGATTATTTCAGACACTTCTGTTTGGCAGGAGGCTGCGGTCCATCAGGACCAGAACCTCCCGTCACAAAAACAGTTTTTTCCCATCTGCTACCGGCCTTATCAACAAGGCCAAGACCCGCCCATGACACTGGACAATGTTTCTCTCCCCCAATCAGGATTCTGCGTTACATTAACGCACAGTCTACTGTGTGTATATAGCTTCTGTGTGTATATATATATATATATATATATATATATATATATATATATATATATATATATATATATATATATATTTTTTTTTTTTTTTTTTTTTTATTTCATTGTTCTTTTTTAATCATTTATAGAGCATGTCATCATAGTAATCATATAGAGAATTGAAGCATTTATAGAGATTTCAAAATGACAATATCTAAAAAATTTAAATTAAACAAAATAAAAATATGTTTACTGTGTTTAAAGTTTATGTCAATGCTAACTCTTCCAGTTCAAAGGTCAGTATTGATAGCCTTTTCTATGACTCATTACTCATGAAGTAGCCCTCAGCCTTTAAAAGGTAGTTGACCAGTTGTTAAAAGATGATCAGAAACATTAAAAAAAGGGAATTTACACTAACAATAGGCCTGCCTATTTATTATAGTAATATAATACATTAGTTTGCTAAGTACTTTTTATTAACTTATTATTTTCAGTAAAATAAAAATGGAATAACATGTGCCAGAGTAAAAATCAACTGTTTATTCCCACTTCATCCACTTTTTTTTTTACAGCACCATGATTTTGTAATGCTTTATTCATCTCTTTAAACTTTATTCAAATTTCCGATCGTCATTCTAACAGTCATGGCTGTTGTCTTTAATGCTGTTTACCTCTCACATAAATGCTGTTAATGATCATTTAAAGTGATTTAGAAAAGTATGAAAATATTAACAAGCTATTATAATTTCTTTCTAACAGATGATCTGTTAGATCAGTGTGCAATGCAGTTTATTGGAGCATTCGTTAAAGCTCAAACTTGCTCGTCCTCTTATTAATAAAATGCCATTGCTGTAAGTCTTGCCTCTGCTATGCATGACATAAGAGGGCACTGTTGTGCTGAAATTAGACCCAGTGTATTGTTCACAGACATATTTTAAGCAAGGGCCTCAACAGTGCTTAAATTTTTGGGGTAATGTTCCCCTGTATGAATAAATAGTTGCTGACTCACAGTGCAGCTGCACAGTGAGGGTTGTTTCCCATACAGTCAATGTCATACTGTCTACAGATAAGATTGTTCTCATGCCTGTAGTACTTTCAGAACTTAGGAGTCTTTGTCCAGCCTTTAACAAAAGCCTTTGGATTATAGGTGAGGCGGGCTCAGAGTACAGCTGCTAGCGTGTATGGGCAGGCTAGTGGAATGACTAGAGCCAGGGTGGGCTAAACACACGGAAAAATGCAGTCTGGTGAGATTTCAGATGAGGGGGGTGGAGGAGGGATGAAAGGAGAGGGGTGGGCTAGGCTCTGATTTCCATGGAGGAAAAACAAAAGGCATATTTCACCTAGAGGACCACACTGGTAGGAATCTGAAAACTATCTTAAAAAGAAAATTGTCCCTGAAAAGTACTGAGTTTTTTTTATCATTTTAGGGAAAATCAGAAGGGAGATATGAGAGGAGAAGCTCAGCCCCTTGACATTTAAATACTCAACTTTCCACCTTTAAAACAAGTTTACCTGTGAGAACATTGCGCCTAAAACACTGTTACAATGGAGTGAATGAATGGGGCCTCCTCATTGGTCCAGGGAACAGCCAATCTGAGCACAGCCATGAGTCACAAGTTGAGGCAATCTGCACCTGACACTTTACCTGCCTGAGCGCAGAGCCTGAATCTCATTACCTTTCCAATACAATCCATAGCTGAGGATCAGATTGTTCCAGCGAGTGCTTGTCTTCAGTCAGACAAAGTCAAGGAGCCATGGCTGTGGCTAATTTCCAGTATATTACCAGGATGAGCAGTGGCTTCAAGGTCTACATTTTAGAGGGTGAGCTTGGGGAACACTTTCCCTTTATTTCATTCTGTTGCTTTATTTTCAAAAATACATTTATTTTGTACGAAACAATTTACATGAACAGCTTATTCATTTCAGCGATATCTGTTGACATGTGTCTATTTCATAATGTGACAAAGTATTCTAATTGTTTTATTCTTTTAAATGGTTTTGCTCGTCAGTGGTGTTTTTGTAAACAGTGATTGATAAGAAAACAAATCTGACCAAATTCAAGATGAAAATCAACAAGTACCTCATCAAATACACCTTAAGAATATATATTGTTTGATTAATGCCAATGCATCAATTAAGTCTTTTTATTTTAACAAAACAAATCAGGGACACTTTATAAATTCCTTTTAGAATGTCAACACACGTATTATTAAATGTGTTTTTTCTTTGAACTTATGCAAAACCTTGTTGGATTCAACAAAACAGAAGGTCATGCAGCACATATGTGCTAATAAGAAAAAAATACCCATGCCTGAGGCGTTAGAAAATCAGCATAGGTGTGGTTATACCTGCTCCCCCTACACAACGGCAAACTGTGAAGGAGTAACACACAGGTAGTGGAATGTTTATGCAATAGCTAATGCGAACTGAAGTGTCTAAGTAATGGTGCTGACCTCCTTTTTTCTAGTCCTGCACTGCAAAACAGATAATCACCTACTGTTTCAGAATGCAGTAGTTATTGTTCTGCAAACAAACCTTTAGTCGTGTAGTGAATGTGGATGTGCAAGTGTTGAGAGAGCATCCACTCTTACAATGAGGCACAGTATGATCGCATTTTTAAGTAACGTTGGCGTTTTGACAATATGCATGACTTTCCATCTCAAACTCTTTGACTTAATAGCCCATTGATTTGTCTTTTAGTATCTCCATTGTGCTCTTTTTGGAGTTAGATGCAGCTGTTGCCTTTCCTTTTATTCAGTTCATTGGTGCAAACCTCAGCTCGTGTCCTTTAACTAGTAAGTGCCAGTCAAATTACAGCTGGAACCATTCAGATGTTAACCTCACTAATTCAAGAAAAAAAAAACCTGTGTTGATCAAGTCCCTGGGAGCGTGTGACTAGGCTGGATGCCAACATTGCAGAAAAACAACATTTACCGTTAGCATTGAATCAGCTGTGAAGTCTTACTGATCAGGTAGATCGAGTTCTACCACTTAACGGAGCTTATCATTAACGGTGGAAAAAAAAATTTCCCACGACTAGCAGTCATGTAGGTTGATGTCATGGGATGAAAACAACTGTTACTCATCCATTAGTGCTTAACGTTTTTTAATGGATACAATTATGGCGGGTAACTTATGATGAATGATTGGTGACTGTCCCTTAGTAAATAATGATATCATCATCATCATATTGTATAAATCAGGATACCATCATCATATTGTGTAAACATTTCTGATAGTCTGGCTTTCTCATTTGTTTTATAGGTCAACCTCATCACAGAGGAGAAGACCGATACAGACATATGGCGAACGAACGAACTCGAGCTCCAGCTGTGTTTCCGATTAAACGCAAGCGCGGCTACGAGAAAGGCTTGACTTTGGAGGAAAGGTTTGTAAAAACACTTTTATGTGTTCAAACATAAATAACGTTTTCCTAATATAAAGAATTCACATTGACGACTCTATCTGTTTTAGACGAGAGCGGGCAATCAACAGGAGCAAAATGGCCCAGAGACCAGGACCCATGCCTGCAGTCTTCAGTAACCAGCAGAGTCCATCATCTCCACAGTGCCCAACACCGAGCCCAACAAGCCCTTTGCCTGCCTATGTGTATTACACGCCAGTCAGTGAGGAACCTCTGGCACTGATCAAAAAACCAAGGAAAGAGCCTGAAAATGCAGAGGAAAAGATTTCTGGCTCAGCTGGCAGTAAGATCCAGGTACTTGAGTTCACTTCTTTATTCTCCCAAATTTGGATTGCTTCAGCTTTTCCTAACAGGGAGTGCTTGCAAATCTTTGAGAGAAGTAAAGGAATTTTGGGGGGGGTAATCACTTTGGAAACATTGCATTTCTGATGTCCCTTTGTAGTGTCAGTATAGCTCAAGGCTAACCCAGAGCAGGGGTACATCTAGAGTCTTTAGTCAGTGAATCTATTTAGCAGGAGTGTACACAGGCCTAAGCTTGCCTGAGCAATGCAATCCAGCCGGATTCAGGGAGAAAATGTAAGCAATGGAGGGAGGAACGCCATCAACAAGACCAAACAGACTGCTTTCTTTCTGAACTGTTTATGCCATCACAGTGGGAGTGAGCTGACATCAGGAGCAAACCCAACCAGTTTAATCACTTTTATGTTGATTCCAGGTTAAACTCTGCACCCTACTGCCGTAGTTAATCCATACTCAGATCCAGGCAGCAATTCTACTGATTAAAGATTCAAATAATCCAAATGAACTACACCTATTTAATGGTTGACCTACTTCTTTTTGTTTCTATAGATGCGTCCATCTGTGATCACCTGTGTGCCTTCAGTAAAAAACCCTTCTTCCAGACCTGAGGTCCGCAAAAGCCATTCCTCAGGTCAGTCTATAACTCTCACTAGACTGTCACTCCCAATTCGTCACACTCGAATCATAGACTAAACATCTCACTCCCGAACAGACTCTTTCTGACTCACGGAGGTGTGTATTTGCCTTGTCTCATGTACGCTTCCTTTTTTTCCCAACAGATTCCAATTGCAACTATGATCACGTCCTTGAGGAGCATTTCCAGAGGAGCCTGGGGGCCAACTACCAGCAAGCCCGTGCCAAGGAACTCTCCATCAGCGTGTCCGTGGATGACCACTTTGCCAAGGCGCTAGGAGAGGACAAGTGGCTGCAGCTCCAATCCAAGTCCTCTTCCTGTTCCTCTACACCTCCCAGCAGTCCCAGCATCACTCTCTCTCCCACCTACAGCCAAAGCCCCAACCAGTCCCACAGAGAGTCATCGCTGACTTCTAGCCACTGGTCCGTTAACTAAAATGGCATTGCATCCATTAAAAAAAACTGAACTTTTTCATCACATTTCAGTGCAAACTGTTTTCCCTGTCCATGCAACAGGAAAATGACCCAGCGCTAGTATTCAGAACTAGTCCATGTAACAGGGGAAAACCAGTCGTCCCGGTTACTAGTGCGGTTCACAACCAATTAACAAATGTAGCATTGAGCGGGAAAAATCTTGTTTTGTTACATTTCTACAAAAGTATCTGAGAAATGATAATAATAGATGGTGTAGGGGATAATCCTTTACATTTCCTTTGATTTGTGCCATTCCTAGCAGACTGCGGGAATTGTACGAGTTCCTTGTATTTATATTCCTGGGCCTTTTGTCTTCATGACTTGTCTGCTTTCTAACACAAGTCTGAGTTTTTAATGACTTTTATACAAAATAAAATGAAAAAATATGTATGTTTTTAAGTTCTCTTCTTTTGAATCAATAACAAGTCTTAAGGGAAAAGTGGAAATGTGAAATTGTGGACTTCTTAAAAATTGAGATCATAGAGATCTAAGATTGACATCAGGGACTCAGTGTAGACATACAGCACACCTGGCCTGCGGACTGTATCTAACAAACAGAATTCTGAGCAACCTGGAAAATCTGGACTCTTTTTCCAGTAAGTTTGAGAGGATGTAGGGAGCATGTCCCAGCAGGCGCTCTGACATTCCTGTGTCCTGAGAATATGACTCTCTCTCAGATCCTACAGATCCTGTTTGGCAAGGGATAGGAGGGAGGTTAGGAGGGGAATAAAGGGTTGGGCTGATAGGCCTGAGCATGACAACAAGTCATGCTCTGTTGTTCCTTATTTGCATGTCCTAGCTTGTTTAATTTTGTAAAAGATTGGAGACTCTGAGTAGAAAATTCCAAAGACTTTATTTCTGAAAATACATGCTTTTAAAAAAGTGCATTGAGGGTTCTAATATTTTGAACTTCTTGGGGTTATAATTTGAGCAAAGAATATTCTTACAGTGGCATCTTTACAAAAATAAACAAATGAAAAAAACAATCATATTTTTATGTTTTAACATTTACACCAAAGGGCGCCTAGGGCAAGTTCACACATATGGGAGCAGAATTTTAACCAAACTTTGGAAGATTACCTTCCCTCAGTGACTCACAAACTGGTATTTCAACATATTCAGCCAGCGTAACCCCAATAGGAGCTGTGATGCCACCTGCAGGCATTTGGGTAGAACTTAAACAGCCAGTTTTACAAATGACTCATGTTGTATAACGACAGAAACAGCCATATTCAGTTCTATAGAAAACGACTGTTTGGAGATGGGTGTTTTTAACAGGGAAATGAAAGAGAAAGCTAACATTGTTTGATGCATAACAAGAAGACGGATGAACTCTTACCTACAAATACAGTAACATTTCTGGATTTCCCACATAAAAAGGAGGTTTTTCCACAAGCATGCCAGTGTAACAATGAGTGAAGCGAAGTATATTCTGAGTACACCTTAAAGTCTACAGGGCAGCATACGATGAGAATGTGAAGAGAAACACTTCTCATGCAGCTGTACAACAAATCCACATTGTTGAGTGAGGGAGAGTCGCTGCTAACTGTAATCCCTAATCCTTCATAAATGACAGAAAACAGCATTTAACTCATGCAAACAGGTATTAAAAAAATCTCTTACTGTAAGAAAAATCAGCTTCACCATTCTGGGAAAATTCCTGAATTTTTGTTTGATAAATCGTCATCAACAAATCAGTAATCTCTTCGTAAATGCCAAACAGTAAAGCTCTAATCTCATGAGAACATAAATGTTTTATGATGACGGTAAATGGAAGATTTTGTGAAACTTTGTGTTCCAGTAATCAGAGAAAGTTGTCTGGGATAAAGAAACTTTTTATAATTCTGAGTGGTTAACAGATTAAGATAGCGGGCTGCTGCTTATGGTGAACCATTCATGGAAAATTATCCCCCTGACAAATCTATTCATTTAAGTTCAGGATAGGAATGTTGCTTTAAACTGCCAGGGGCTGATAAAAGTCGTCATCTTTTCCTGATCTGTTGTATCTTTCTGCTGTTGCTTGCAAAAATATTCATCTTTTTTTGTTTTTTTAAGTTTTGCATTATCTCAAAGTGGTAGAATAAACTCAACCAGATATCATCTGTTTGTTTATGTCCTGGTTTAATTCTTTGTTGGAGCATTTTTTGCATGTTTGTTTTTTTGGATAGTCTCTACCAGCTTTGACTATTTAGAGACTGAATTTACCAGCAACCCTTCTTTAAGAAACGGATCCCACTCGGCCAATTTAAATGGAGCAAATCTGTGAAAAGGGAATATCTCATGTCTTGTTGAAGTGCTTGATATAAGGCCTAGACTTCGAGTGGACCATTATTACACACAAACATCCTTTTCATAAAATCATAAAATCCCTCCATTGTTACTTTGTCTGTATGTTTGAAGTTCCTGACATGTTGCACCAAACTTTTCATTGTTTTTTTTTTTTCAAACATCTTTTGTCACTGGTGATCAGAAGGGGGAAAGACAATAATCTTTGGCTGGGACATCAAAACCAAAAGCCATATTAGATTTGGATCCTTAACCTAATCAACTGTTTAGTCTGAAAATTCACATTTTAAAACTCTATATACCAGAAATCATTCCATATAAGATGTTTAAATAGGCTATTTTTAGTCTCTGCACAATGTCCAGTATGTAGAGCTTCAACTAATTTTAAGATCAAAAAGAGATCCCGGTTATGGTCTGGTAATGTGGGACAGACATCTTGAAAGGGGACAATGGATAGCAATAAATAAATAAGGCACATAAAAAAAGTTACATTCACTGAACCATCCTTCTTCTTTTAAGTCTATGCATAAGAATCCAAATTAAACTGACAGCTAAAATAAATACTCAGCCAGGGGAATTAATTTATGAAAGTGACCATACCCCACCCGCTCATCTCTCGTTAGCACAGATTATTTAAGCAAAGCGCCATGTGCTCCATGAAATCTTTAAAGCTGGAATACTGTTTTAAAACTTGACCATGTTGTTAGGAGGAGTTTTTTTTTAAGTGGAGCCACAGAAAGAGAGACAGATGGACGAAGTTTTTAATTTAGGGAGAAACTTAGAATATTGAATAAGGAAGGCTTGGTAATGAATATTGTCCCATATGGGGTGAATGGAAACAGAACTATATAGAGACAGGTTAGTGCAAGATTGAAGTAGAACAAGATAAGGTGTAAATTATTAAGCTGATTAGGGGACTAAGGCATGGTGAAGGCTGTGTCCGAACATCCGCTCTAGCCTGCTATGTAGAGCATTATATAGGGGTTTATGCCATTTTAAATTAGTGTCTGACAGTGAAGAAGATAAAAAACCAACAGATCTACAGGAGGCAAAAAGTAGCGGTCATTTGTCTGAATGATCAGTCAACTGAATGCAGCATATAGTCCCTGCTCCATTTTGTCACGGAGGGGTTACTGTTGACCTTCGGAGACAGCCTAAAGAGGGAATATAGAGCGGGGACAATATAGAAGACTTTATAGTGAAATCAGTTAACCGATTTCTGCTCCCGGCATGGTGCCTGCGCCATTTCTGTTCTCTCCCTGCCCCAGAACAAATCCCATGATGCTTTGTGAAGAGAGGTATTGCAAAGCCTTTTGGGATATATATCCACTGGTCTAGTGACCATGGATGCACTGTCACTACCTGATCCTTCCCGGAAGCATGATCCATTCTGCGCATGCGCTATCAGCTGATTTGTGCATGTGCATCCAGGTATACATCCGGGTCTTCCTCGATTTTATTTTGTTAAAAATACCTAAAAAAATACCTCCCCAAAAATAGTACTAAAAGGTACTAAATATAATGTGTTAAAGGTTAATAATGTATTTCCTGAGAAAATAAATGCCTTAAAATTCTTTCTGCTTTATCACTTGTCTCTGCACCGGAAATGGGATCCTACGCTACTTCCAGTGGCTAACTTTTTTCGGCTTTGGATTTAAACATACATCTAGTCTTTTTATGTCGTTTTATGTTTTCATTTCGTGTTAACCTTATGGTAAATATTGCGGAATCTAAAGAAAGAAACAACTAAAATGCAGATAAACACGGTTTAACCATATTTTGCCGGACTGCCCGGAGCATGTCCGATTATGATGTCAGAGAAGCAGTTTAACAAAAAAAATGTAAAAATCATAAAAATTGTCTCACAACATTTATAAAACTTTTTAAAGATTTGCATTAGCATTCTTTGTGAGTTAAGGATAGAAGTAATTAGTTTTAGTACCAGAGTATTTATGGGCAACCGGATGTACATCTGTCTGTGCATAGTTTGCGGGTAGTGACATGCACAATGCCTGTCAAGGTGCATTGTGGGAAACTTTAAGTCCACTACTTTTCCATCTGCTCAACATTCGGATACTCATATAAAATAGTGTAACATTAAGGCAGATGTTCAGACACAGCTTAAGTTAAGAAACTCTGAATAAATGAACAGATGAAACAAAATGAGAATAGGACAAAAAAAAAAGATAATACATGATCAGAATAGTGAAAAAAGACCAATAAGAGAGATTGTTACTACAAAATAAACACCTTAAAACTGTAACACTTGTTTTCTTTTATCAACAATTTCCAGATTTAGTATACATCTTTGTAATGTTGATGCTGACAAATGTTCTCTAACCATGTGAGGCCTTTGTAGACTTAAAAAAAAAGTTAAATAAAACAATAAGAAAAAGTTAACAACCAATAGCACCTTTGCAGGACCCTTAACGGCATGTATGAAAGGTTGATCTGCTTGGAAGGTTTGGTACGGACTTAATATTTCTAAATAATGCCACCTCTTCATTTCCCCTTGGTCCTTCTTGTTTTTTCCGTTTTTCAATGCAGGTGGCTTCCTACACAAAGGTGAACGTATTCCACATAGTGAGCACTTCTCTACACACGTCACACATGCAGTGCAGAACTCGCCAAGCACAAAATAAATGAGTAATAAAGGAGGAAATGATCAGCATATTCAGAGGCATCCGAGCATTGAGGGTTGGTGTCAGCACTGCTGACGTTAAACACCCCTCTGGGGGGTTCTCAGAAAGAGCGACTTGAGTAACAGGTTGATTAGTAACATCGTCTGTAACTGTATCGTCTCGTATTTTAACGTATGTTTATGTAATCTTCAGATCTAACTTTTATTTTTATAGTTTTTAATCTAGGAACCAAGTTTTGTGGAGTTTGAAGTTAACAATTCTTGTTAACAATATCAGTTAGAACATTTTTAAAGGGGTGACTGGGTGGGACCAACAATACTTTAGAGCAGAACAACTAAACCAGCAGCCTTATACATTTGTTTTTTGTTGTTTTTTTTTTACTGTTAATAAAGTATAGTATGTGTAAACAAACTGCAGTTTTTTCTCTTTAACGCCTCCAAGAATTTTCATTTTTAACTGAAAGTAAAGCATAATTATGATGTCAGGATTCTGTTGTCAAACTTATTGTTAGATCATTTATTTTCTGGGCCTCATCTTATATTTAAATGGGTGTAATTGCTCAAATTATGTTTAATTTCATAGTAATGCTGAGTTCACTACTGATTCTGAGCAAATAAGACATACAGGATTTAAATGTAAGGAAGCCAGTGTAGCAGTCCTCATTAACCTGCAGTGTTTTCGGGGATTTATCATTCTCCGTTTCAGCATTCTCTTTGCAAGTAGAGACAAGAAGCCTGTGGTATTCTTTAACTGTATTTACCGTAAATAACAGAAGTGAGAAAAACTAAAAACATTTAAAATCCCATAAACATATGGTTTACAAAGTTGGTACAAGTAAAACTGATGGTAGTTGGGTTGTCTCTTCTGTTGTTAAGGTAAACATGGCAAGTGAAATAGCGTGCTAAATCGTTTAAGCATGCTGGTGTGTCTTTTAAAGAGAAACTTAAAAAAAAGAAAAATGTTGTGGAGAAATTTCTGGGAACTATAAACTGAAAAGGAGCGAAAAGTTATGGCTGGTGGTATATAGCTCCG